TATTCCAGAAACCCAAACCAAGCCCACTGCCGTCAGGTTGATTCTGACTCATAGTAACCCTATAGGACAAAGTAGAACTGCCCCATAGGGTTTCCAAGGCTATAATCTGTACAGAAGCAAACTGCCACATCTTTCTCATGGAGTGGCTGGTGGGTTTGAACTATTGACTTTTCAGTTAGCAGCCAAGTGTTTAACCACTGTACCACCAGGGCTCCTCCAGCAGTATTACATATACCAAAAGCATTTGAAGACATATTTTCTAAGAGCCAGATAATAAAAGTACCCCAATAGGAAAAGCTTCTTCAGAAGGAAGTGGAAAACCTTGGCTATGACTGGGCATGATAGGGAAAAGGGCCCATGTGTTCAGTCTCCTGACCAGGGTCCCTTTCACTGTTTAACATCATGATTTCAGGCAAATGATACAGCCTTTCTGAGCTTGCTTGCTTCTTTCTCCAAAAAAGCTGCTTGGTTTACTCTGAGAGTCTCATTGAGAGCACCAAATAAAACTGTATAATGTATCTGAAAACATTTGGAAATGAACTGAAAGTTCTATACAGTGTAAGAAAGAGCCCAGCATGGTGTCTTGTACAATGTAGATGTTACACGTTTTTTAAATTGAATTCATATAGAGGTAGATGTCAATATTTGGAATGTACCATATTGAAAATGTTTTAAAAAAATCATCTTAGGATTTCACTGCAATAATAATATTAATAATACGTAATGTTATGTGCTAACATGGGACAAGTATTCTTTTAAATGCCTTTTCAATCATTGGATCTTCTCAGCACTTTATAAGTATACGTCCTATTATTAAATAACTTGCCTGGTAGTGGAAATTAGCTTTTGGTACCTCGATCACAATTGTTGTGGTGGCCCTGATTTTTTTTTCCCTAGAATACCAGCTCCCATCCCATTCTACAGTTGAGCCTCCGTGGGCTTCCTGAGGGTGAAGAAAGAGACTCCCCACCTGTTCAGAAAGTCTTTGGAGTCCTTTGAGCCCCCTCCTTCTCATGACACCAGATTATCTAGGATTTTGTGGTCTAGGAACTATTGGGAGGAGCTCCCTGGCTTCCCACAGCCTGCCCTGGCCACATTGTACTTTGTGAAATGTACCGTTCAGTATTTGATCTTAGGGTGCAGCCACAAAACCAAAGAAAAGCTCATTATCTGTTGCAAAATCCTGATTTCTACTCATCTCAATCACCCTCTATGAACTTTAGATTCAGTTTTACAATCATGTTTAATTTGTAAATGAAAGGAACGTGATTGGTTCATTTGCCTTTTGGATCCCTGATGATCTAAGCTATTGGAGTGTGGCCACTGACCCTGCTGCTTAGCCTTCCATAAAGCTCACAGAGATTTTCACTAGGAGATGGGCAGGCATGGATGGAAGCAGGGGTACTGTTCAGTTAGATAGATGTTGCTGCTCATTCTTCCTCATCTTTCACTCTCAGCATTTCTTTCTCTGACCCTGTCTACCCGTGCCCTAGCCCCTGGTGTCTTTATTTTATATGAAAACAAGTCTCCTCCTGAAAAGAAGGGGCTTCTGTGCTGATTTACCTTTGATGCATTGTGGCTAATCAGTGACTAATTCAGAATCATTTACTTTTTAGGAAAGTGACAACAAAGAACTCGACGATGCCCTGGATAAACTTTCTGACAGCCTAGGACAAAGACAGCCTGACCCAGATGAGAACAAACCAATGGAGGATAAAGTAAAGGTAAAATAGAAAATTCCGGAAATAGTGAAAATATAAGGCTTTTATACCATATGACACCCTAGACTCCACTCTGAAGGAAAAAGACTGCTTTTGACATTGTCAAAAGTTAGGAAACAATTGAATAACTTTAAGTCTGATTTTTTTTGTCCTTCTCTTTGCTCAGTGTTGCATGTTTGTAATTTTCTCACCGAGGATGTTCATGGCGTGGAATCCACGGGCAAAAGCCCTGTTTGCACAACCAGGCTTTATGTTGGAAAAGCATAGCTATGCTTGTTAATTTTATTCTCTTCCCACATTAACTTTTCTTGGTTTTACTGGGTAGTAAGGACATCATATATATGCTACATACAGATGTGCATTTTTTAAGTTTACGTGTTCTGTGCATGTTAGTGGCAGATGTCACTATATAGTGGATATTTTCCTAGCAGCTTTTCTGCAGGCATAACTAAATCTGAGTACAAACTCCTACATAAAGAGAGCACTGGATGAGGAGTTCAGCATTATATAGAGACGTGTTTAGAAAGAAGGAGCCCCGGTGGCGCAGTGGTTGAAGCGATTGACTGCTAACCAAAAGGTTGGTGGTTCAAAACCACCAGTGGCTCCATGGGAGAAAAATATGGCAGTCTGCTCCCATAGAGATTTACAGCCTTGGAAAACCTATGGGGTCGTTACGAGTTGGAATCGACTCAGTGGCAGCAGTTTTTTTTTTTTTTTTTTGGTGTCTAGAAGGACACAAACTACTAACTCTATATATTGTATACAGTACTTAACAATCCATTTCAGCTCTCTGGATCATAGGTTGGAACCAGGAACTAACTTGTCTGACCAGCCAAACTCGTGTCCCCAAAACAGAGCATTTCAGAGAATTCTCAGGTCTTAATTCTATCACTGTCACAGGAGAACTGATACGAACTTATATTTGAAAAATGAAATTAGAATGAGGCAGAAAAATAAAATCCTTTCTCCCCTGAGGGGGTCACTGAGTCTGTGATGGAGACCAACCAGCCAAGCTCCAATGAGATGGAGATGCTGGGAGGCAGGTGCAACTTACTCAAAAGCGGTTGCTTCTTCACCTCCACCACAAGCAGCCTGGCATGTCCAGTTCAAATTTGCTCCTCATCCTGTGAAATGTACCTTTCTGGGATGTTTATAAATAGTAATACTGGTAAATATTACCTCTGTATGTACCAAGGTAATTCTGACTCATAGCAACCCTATAGGACAGAGTAGAACTGCC